TTGATCGCTGAGCTGCGTGCTGCCTAATCAGGCCCGTTTCCAGAGCAACAGCGAGTGTAGGACGCATGTAGGACGTCAAAAACGTTACGGGAAGTCATCCACTCACCACCACCCCAAGCCTACTCAGTGACAAATGTTTCGGATACACTAGTCATGCAGCGCGCCCATCAGAGCTCAAAGAATCATGAAGATGTGATGCGTATCCTAACTTTGTTCTGACCGGCCATCTGTTCGCGCCCAGAGCCGGACGCACGCTAAACTCAGAGTTGGACTATTGGCAAATAGAACATCTCATCTCATGCCTGCCCTATCTCCCCGGAGCGCCCTCGCGGTGATGGATCGTTGGCTGTGATCGACTGTGAGGACACTGTAGTGGTCTCCCGGACGACGGAAGACAACGCGGAGGTCTACAGGTCCGTCGATTCCCATTTTGTCATCCGCCCAAGCCCGTACAGCCTTGTCTCATGCTGGCCTTGCGTTCACTTTCAGATCTGCACATCAATCCGCGCTCGCTTTTTGCCACTGCCCAACTTGAGCCACCCGCGCCGAACTCTTCCCAGCTTCCTCCCTCCCCTCCGTCACCCGAGCTACGATGTCAACGCCGCCGTCACTTCCCTTAGCGCAAAGATTGGACATGGTCCCGGCCATGCTGTCCGTTCGTGCGTGTTCAACTCACAGATCCTATCTACTGTTCTCTCATGCAAGTTCGTAGTTGCGGCCGCTCTATACACGGCCGTTCAAGGACCATTCCGTGGCCCAGAGGGAGCCGCCACGTTCGATCGGCATATGCAGAACGGCATCACGCGGCAGCTTGCGGGCCGTATGAGCATTGCTCAGTTACAGTTTATCCGCGGGACAACGAAGGCCACGTTTGAGAAGTGGGCGAAGGCGAATCCGGCAGTTCCCACCCATACGGACGTCCTCGGCGATGGAGGCGCCATACATTGGCTCGGCTCTAAGGATGCGGACAAGATTATTCTTCACCTTCATGGTATGTCTCACTAAAGCCAGTCTTGACATTGGCTAACCGATAGCAGGCGGTGGCTATATTCTACCGTTATCCGTTGGGCATCTCGCGCTCATGGATGGCATACGCCAACGGGTGTCCCAGGCGGCGGGCGCTACCGTTGCTGTCGCTTTTGTTGAATACTGTGAGCTCTTCCAGTTTATTCTCTGGCGTGTGTCGCTCATGATACCTCAGCTCTCGCTCCGACCAAGCCCTACCCAACGCAAGTCCGTGAAGCCCAAGCGGGCCTTGCACACCTTCTAGCTCAGGGCGTGCAACCATCCAGGATTATTCTTTCTGGTGACTCCGCCGGCGCACACGTCGTGCTGTGCTTGATCTCTCACCTCCTCCATCCTCACCCTGGCCTTCCCGCACCCCCACTATTGACGTCCTCGTTCGGTGGCCTTCTTCTCATCTCGCCCCGCGTCTCCAACTCAACAGCGGCCGCTTCGTTTTCGCAGAACACTAATCGCGATACCCTAACTCGAGAGACATTCGAAAGCTGGATTGCGAACTTCCGTGCCAACGGCCCTGTAGCCACCGCGGAAGGTCTTACTCAAGATGGAGTGTACACGGAGCCGGTACAAGCCTCCACCAGCTGGTGGGATGGGCTTAGCAACACGATTGCGAAAGAGGTTTTCGTCTCTGCGGGCGAGCACGAGTGCATGCGGGACGATATCGTGCGGTTCGCTGAGACATGGAAGGGCTTGCCTGGCATGAATGTCATGCTTGATGTAGAGGAGAGAGGGATCCACGACTCACCCCTCATGGACGCTAGTCGCGCCCCGAGCGATCTCATACGGCATATTGAGGCGTGGTTAAAAGTCAGAGTGGAGGCTGATTAAAAGTATACTCATCTCCCGTACATGAATCGTCTTTTCTTCCACTTCGTAATATCATGAACTGTGCATATAAGCACCGTATTGAAGTGGCGTTGTGCCGCCGCCGTTCCGACTGGTGAAAACACATGAGCATGGGATCTTGGTGGGTTTGAGATTGGTGGGCTGTATGTATCAAGGTGGCGCCAACTCTCTCAGCCTCTCGGCGACAGCACCTTTACACACGATGCATGTCCTCATACGATGAATACTAGCGCATAGATACCCGTGCGCTGTACTCGGGCTCCAATTCGCCTGGCCATGACATCATATAAAAGTCCTTGATACGAGCACGCTTAAAGCTTAAATTATACTACTAAATGAATTATGTACGTGACAAAGGAAGGGAAGGTGTCAGTCAATCAATGAGCGAAGATATCAGGGTTGGCCGCGATGAAACTAGAATGCGGAGTCAGCGTCGCGGTATCACGATCAGGGGACTGTCCAATGCTCACTCGGTCCGATTGACCTCGAACGTGTCGGGAATGAGGTGCGCTACTTCTTTGCCGCCCACGAACTCTACAACCTGTCCAGTCGAACCCGAATACCGTGGCCAGTGCTGCTCTGTGCACGCTCGTGAGTACACACTGTAGGGCATGTTACCGCGGAATTATATACCATGGCCGTCAAGGCGTACGCTAGGTTGAAGATCCGCGACGAAGCTGATCCATGCATCGGCGAGAGCCTCGGAGATCCCGTCTGCGTACTTGTCAGAGTCAAAGAGGAAGGGCAACTCGGAACCGTGTGTTACTGAACAATCCTTGAATCAGTACCCGACTGGCCCAGGTTGGTCGAACGAAACGCTCACCTCCCAGTGACGCGTTAGTGACCGACTCTTGGGCCGAGAAGCGATACACGTAGACATCGGCATTGGAAGCATTGACAGCCGATTGCGCAAAGAACCGAGCCGGTTCAAGAAATCCAGCGTCACCAGCCACAGCGCTTGCTCGCGTGAACTGAGCCCCCAGAGGAAACCCTTCGTTCGCAGCCGCAGGACTATAGGACGTTGGATCGTCTGGGAAGAGAGCAAGTACAGTCGGCTCCGCTGCCGCGACGTCTGCTGCAGCCAACGGGTTTGTGTTCGATGCCAGGAACTCCAGAAAGTCCGATTCGTTCTGCAGGCCGAAAGGCGCGAAAGTCGTACCTGTATAGGAGGTTAAGTTGCGGCTACCAATAGACGATTGACATAACCGACCTTCATCAAGGTTGGTGCCAATGATGAACGGCTTGTGCAGCAAGGAACCTGCACTCTCGAGAGCAGCGGGAGAATCGACGATCAATTCGCCGTCAATGTTCGGGACGAAGGGATAGTCGCCGCCGCGGATAGCATCGCCAAGTGTGTCAAAGAGGGGAAGGGATGCGTTCCACAAAACATCGTCGTCGACGGCTTCGAGACAGTCAAGATCTGGTGACGTCGGGCATCCTGCCAGGAGCGACAATTGCTCCCAATAGGCTTCGCGAATTGTACCGTTGAAGAAAGGGACGCTACACGATGTGTTCTGTGTGAGTAAGACAGGTACTGAGAAGAGTTTGAAACTGACGTCGAGGGAGACTGCATGATCTACGCAGACATACATTGTTAGTTGCCGGAAATGTGAAGGCACACATGTACTCACCGATGCGCGAAATAAGCCGTCGGCTTCCGGGTTGAGGTGATGTATTTGTATCGACCCTCCGCCGGCGCTTTGACCCACTACAGTAACCTAGGATGGGCACACGTTCGGTCAAAAAGGTTCATTAAACAAGTGCGGATGATACCAACCCGGTCAGGGTCCCCGCCAAATGTCGCGACATTATCTTGGATCCACTGCATAGCCAGAAGCTGGTCCTTCAGCCCAAGGTTGAGTATGCCTGCTTGTGTGGCGGCGACTCCTTGAGGGAAACCCCAAGGTCCGAGACGGTAATTAATGCTGGCGAATATAATTGGGGTGTCCTGAGCGATGCTACGCGCAACGAGGCCTGACCTCTTCGTCTACTTCGGTGCGACGAAAACTAGACGGTTCAAACATACCGGTGCCGTCGTACATAGATGTATCACCCTGGATATATGCGCCACCATATAGCCACAAGAGTACAGGAAGAGACCGCGCTCCCGCCGGGCGCCAGATATTGACACTCAGGCAGTCGTCCGAGAGATCACTATATGATAGGGTTTCCCCGAACTATGAATTTTTTCTTCAAGCAGTATCCTTTCCTAGATGAAGGACAAGGTACTTACCAAAGGTTGGAAGCACGCTTTTCCGAAAGCCGTTGCGTTGATGCTGTCGCGGGTTGAGTTCGAGAGTACATGCGCCTCCGCGATCTGGAACCGCCCTGCATCGCCATACTTGATGCCTGCAGAGGGTCAGGATGCGACAGGAGCGCCACTATGCGGAACTCACTCACCTCCGAAGAACTCTATGCCGCTGTCTGTCAAGTGCTTCCCGGTGAGAGTTGTACCATTGAGTGTGACCTGTACTGTGCTAGACAGTGAGGTCCCGTGCGTGACCGTTGCCGCTATCAGAAGAGTCCAGAAAGCAGACAGACGATAGGACATGAGCGCTGAACGTCGAACCGTCTGTGAAAGATCGTCGCAAGAAATGGCAACGGCACGCTTTATTGATGAACGCGCAACAGGATGAGTTGTGTTCAATTTCCGCTGGTTCGTCGGAGAGCACGGAAGCGTGCCGGTACCTATCACCGCCCAACAACGCGGTGCACATCAATAGCGACGAGACCGCGCGTGCGCGATGCTTCGCAACACAATATTTCTTCATAGAAGAGGTGCGTATACCACCATATGGGGCTAGACGTCACCGTGCTTGATATCAGCGCGACTGCTTTCTCCAACAGCTACTAGGCGTTGTACGTTCCTTGATGATGGACGAGTAGATTAGAGCGCGCATCTCACGCGCCCTCGCCGGCATATCCCGCTAGCTTCTCACGCGCGGCCCGCGGTTGGCGACTCGGAACCGCAGCCAGGCTCGCCATCGTCCACCATCACCATCACTAGCCTTCAAATGACGACGTCTTGTTTTTGACGTACTAGCAAGCCGCCTGCGCTCCTTCGCACTGCATGTGTTTGCTCCGTGATCGGGCCCCTCGATTTCTACTACCAGTTCACTTCGGTACCCCGGGTGTCATGATCCAACGTCGTTTCAGATCACACCTGATACTGATATGGAATGGCAACGTCGCTCAGCATGATGCGTTCAAACTCCACGGACAGTTACGCGTCTATACTAAGACTCTCGGTGCCACTGTTCTCCATACCAGACATCGCCCTGGAGCTTTTACGTAGAACCGGCTTTGCTGCAGCCTTGCCGTCCCCATGTTTGCCCAGTTCCTGCTGCTCGCAACGTCTCTGGCCGTCTCTTATCCGGCCTCTCGCGCATACACTGTTGTCGATCCATTCGCGGCGCCTTGTTTCCGAAAGGGCAACGGGACCGACCCGTCGGATACAGGAGTATGCGACGACGTTCAGTCCAATTATACAAATCGCTGTGCGTGTTTTCTACATTCTTGAACCACGCTACTCTGACACACGACTAGTCTTTCGTTTGACGAACGCGGGATCATACATGAATACACAGTGGGAAACTTGCCAGATGTCTGGATCTCAGTGTCTACTGGACTGGACCAATCCTTCCAATGAGCTCGCATTCGAATATCCGCGTACTTGCGGGCAAGGGAGCGTCCCACTCTTCACTGTATGATGATTGATGTTCCAATCAATGCCACATGCTCAACGTCATCCAGGTTGAGGTCGAAACCGCGCAGGACGTCGTGACCGCTCTGCATCAGGCCGAGGCTTTGGGGATGCCGATCGTTATCAAGAACACGGGTGTGAGCCAAGTTTATGTCGGCGTGATATGATTTATTGTCTAACATCAGGCAGCACGATTACAAGGGCCGCAGCAGTGCGCCCAACTCCCTCTCGCTTTGGGTAAGGCATTCCGTACAAGATGACACGTGTCATTGTTCTAACTCGATATTGCAACCAGATGCACAAACTCTCAAACGTGCGTATTCCGACCAGCACGCGCTTGCCCTGTGTTTACTCACCAAACGCTAGATATCGTATGATGCAAACTTTGTACCGGATGCATGTGGTACTCCGGGTGTTTCCGCAATAACGATTGGTGTGAGTACTCGGTAGACCCATGGGCCATACACTTTGTCTGAGCCACGATAGGCTGGCGTTCTCACGGGTGACTTGCTGGAATTCGCGGATGCAAATGATCTCACCGTAGTCGGCGGTAAAAACGCGCTACAGCACTCTTCTTCAAATTCTTACTCTAGCATGCACAGGCAATGACCCTACTGTTGGTGCAGCTGGCGGGTGGCTTCAAGGTGGCGGACACAGCTTTATATCCAATGTCTATGGTCTCGGAGTTGATCGTGTTGTACGGACATTTACCATCCTCGCTCGATATCAGTCTTCTGACTCGAACCTCCTCGCCTCGAAGGTCCAATATCGTCTAGTCACCGCTGGTGGCCAGTACTTGACAGTCAACGCCTGTCAACATCCGGATCTCTTCTGGGCACTTCGTGGCGGTACGTTTTACAGACTTTCTTCTGGATAGTTGCCTACTGAAACGATATGCAAGGTGGAGGCGGGACATTTGGGGTTGTGACAGAGGCCACTGTTTTGGCAGACCCCAGAACCGCGGTTCAGGTTGCGCTGGTATCATTTAACGCAAATAGTACGACGACCCGAGCGCTCTGGGAGCTTGTGCTGAAGAACCAGGTTTCGTGGAGTCAATCCGGCTGGGGTGGACTAGTCAATCAACATCAGGCCCTGTATGTGAATCCTGTGTTGAACGCTAGTGCGGCGAATGCAACCATGCAGGTAAGTAGACAGACTCTGGCGTGAGATACACCCTGTTGATGTTACACAGCCTCTGCTGGACTTTGCTGGCAATCTGGGAGGCGCTGTGGTGAAGACCGTCTTCGCGGAATTTCCCTCGTATCTGGCGTTTTTTAACACCTTCATCGCCCCTTCCCCTGCAGTAAGTCGATCGGCTGCCTGATCAGCGCTGCTAGTGCTTGACCTGACCCAATGCGTTGTAGCCAGTGGGCGAGAATGTAGCCCTGGCATCCCGGCTCATCCCTACATCTCTTCTAGAGTCGCCCGACTCCCGTTCGACTCTTCTTGACGCATTACTGGCATCCGCTGCGAATGTCTCTGACATTCGCATATTCTCGACTACCCCATTCGCGTTCAACGGTAGCCGCGAACTCACCAGCGTGACGCCTGCTTGGAGTGATTCTATCTTCCACGTTGTATTGGATCGAGTATGGAACTTCAATGCGACGGTGGACGTGATAAATGACCAGTACGAGGCGCTGACGGCCTCAGTTGGTGCGCTCAGGGACTTGACCCCCACCGCTTCATACCAGGTCCGCTTCTATTTCTGCCATAGCAAGGTCATATTCTTGCTCACTGCATTCCAGAATGAAGGGGATGTTCATGAGCCTGACCACGAGGTAGCCTTTTGGGGGGACAACAATGCACGTCTTCTATCCATCAAAACGAGATAGTCAGTACAATATCCTCCGCGCAGGAGAGGGTAGTTTCTCACCAGAATACAACACAGTGACCCAGACGGTATATTTGACTGTTGGCAGTGCAGTACGTCCCAGACTACAAGTTGACCTCAAGCTCTAGACTGATTATCTCTAGTCGGTTTCAAACCCAATTCTTCTCGTTTTTCGTGTTACCTCTAGCGTCAACTTATTGGGAGAGCTACATCAGGCGGTGTTATGATATATTCTTGACACTTTCAATCTTCCGTGCTGATTCGGCCTCTCCTTCAGACGTGTATATTGCACTGAGTCTCTTTGTGATTCCGAATGCGCTACATCGGCTATGAGGAATACTCGTGCAAATACATTACATGAACCACTGATAATCAACGTACAGAATAGGTACAGTCGTCATACAACGGTGAACAGAACAGATCTCAAAATCTCACCGGCACCGCTCACCGCTCCGTTCACTTCGAGTTTTCCGTGTTTCCCTCTGGTTCGGACCAGGTTGGCCGTGCGATGCGGAAGAGGTCCCCAAGTCTAGCGTATGTCGTGTCTCCCATCCGAGCAACAGGCTTGAGGAGAGTCGGGTCGACGGTTCCGTCGGCTTTGAGCACGTCCTTTCGGACATGAACATATTTGACCAGGCCCAAGAACATGGAAGTAGTGGCGACGCCATTCGCCGGATGCTTGATATCGACCACGTCCAGAAGCTACGTGAGTCAGAGTTACGAAGAACGCCGAATAGTAGGATTTGTAACTTGCCTGACACTCAATGCTGAACGCGCTTTCAAGCACACGGGCTGGTTTGACTTCGATCTACAAACCGCCATCGTCAGTGCCGTTGAGGACCGGGAGAGCAAAGACGGGGAGTCTGACGCTGGAAGCTTTTGTCAAACCACTGATAGTCCATTCACTGACTCCCGCAGGAGCATCGACGGATGTCACGTTGGCGTTAGCGATGAACGGCTCGCTTATTATATTGACGGTGAACTCCTTGGTGGCGCGGATGTTATTAGCTGTATCTTTCACACGAGGCGGTCCATTCATGCAAGAGATAGAAATGACAGGAGGAAGAGCCGAGACCTACAAGCCATCGTCAGTTCGCCGGCTACCACAGGGTCAACAGCGAGCTACGGCATACCTGATTAAACCAACTATCGTCTAGTCAGAGACTTTCAATGCGCTGACATCGCGATATAGCCTTACCTGAATGGTGCTAGGTTCTCTGAACCGTCCGGCCCGATAGTCGATACAAATGCTATCGGACGGGGCACAATGCCGCTGATCATGAGCGTGTATAACTTCCTGTAGAAAGCGTGAGAAGATATGCGCCATACAGTCGATTACGGTCACGGACATAGGATTCTCAGTCGCAGCGTTGACGACTTGCCACCCCTTCTCTTCACCAGCGAGCCATTCTTTCCCGCCGGTTACTTCCTTGACAGGCTGGCCATTAACCCACTCAGGGCTGGGTGCCTGAGTATACTGGGGCCGGAGCTGGCTATCGAAGACTGGGAGTCCGTCAGACATGTGGAGATGGGAGATGGGATACTTGTGAAGCTTCAATGAGAAGGGTTTTAAGCCACGGAGCCTGGGAAGAGGTTTACCTGCATGCCTCGAGCTGCGTCACGTTAGTGATCTCGAACATGTCCATGGGGTGTAGAGGGGCCGCCTTCGTAGGCAACCTGACAAATGTTACCCTTCTTCGCTGGAGAAATCTGTAGTTCGGCAAGATCATTGGATCCTGAGACTCACAGCGCACCTTGTTTGCACGACGGACAGCTGTGATCAGACGACTAACGCGCCCGGCCGGGTTTCGGATAACCCGAAAGCAGGAGGTAATCATACCATACCATTCTCTCGAAGATTCTTCGACTTCAAGAACCCGACGCTGACCAACCTATGTCTCTCAGTGAGGAAAGATATTCATGCGGGCAGCTACAAGATATGCCAGCATTTGGAGACGCGACCGCCGCAGGTTGACCTGCCGTCCATTCATCAGAACGTCCAGACGGGAGCTGACGGGAGATGTTGGGGAGCAATAGCCCCTAAATTATACGGATCGAGCGTCGCACACCCATCGATCAATGCACGCAAGCTCCGAATCACAACACCAGCCCATCGCATTGTAACGCGTGCTATATTCTGCCAGACAGCGCCCAGCATCAGCTTCACAGGACCCTACTTTGCGCTGCACCGATGGAGGAACATTGCGCTTGCATTCTGATTATGCGCGCTATCGGAAGCAGTACTTGCCTGATGTACGATCTTGCATGATAGAGAATCGCTTGGTTGATCGGTTCGCCAGCGGTACCGGGTTTAGGTTGGACGGATACCGAAAACGCGAATCTCTCGTCGTCGCGCAAGTCAACTTGCTGGCGACTCGGGCGTTGGACGCGTTTTCCGCTCTGTCGCGTACAAAAGCCACGAGGGGGCGGGTATAATGAAGGTATCGTGCCATAGATGAAATGTAATCGCCAAGATGTACGCGGGACGCGTACGTTCAGCACTCGGTATTCAGCCGAGCCATGGACGTTAGCTCTAGAGTAGTGACGGAGCCTGGCGGAACGCATCGGGAAGTATCGGGGACTGCGCAACCTGCTCCGAGCCACCATCTTGCTCCCCGCCCTGAGGCCTGACCGCCATGCGTACGCAGGCGTACGCGTCGCACGTACGCATACGTATCCCCTGGGTATCCCCATATCACCATCACCATTCCTGTGGAGTGCACCGAGATCGGTGGTCGGCGTACCTAACCTTGCCCGGAGCTTTTTTCAAGCAAGGACGCCCGATCGTCCCTACCAAATCTGGGCCGGTCTTCGGCCCCGAGAGAAACAGCCTCACAACAACTGGTCAATGATCATCACAACACATATCAGAGCCGACGCTGAACCAAAGCCAATCGGTGACTAGCCCCCTGGTCCCGAAGAGCTGCGGGACGGGTGTTGTAATAAGCCGTAAACTTCATATGCGCATAACGTTCCGCCCGGCCTCTCACTTGGCAAGATCGTCACGCCTCGAGAATCATTGAGACTCCCTTCTCTGCTTCGCCTCAGTTGCCTCGAATGACTGTCCCTCTTTTCGACACGGCGCTTCTTCGTTCTCCTCCTTTCCTGTCCAATGCGCATCTCCCTGCCGAAGAGCGCGCCAGGATATCTTATGAGCGCGCTCGCACTATCGCGGCGTCAGCAGGTAGCTACAATTGCTCATTCATCCACACATGCAAATAGTGATCCTCGACAGGACTTGAACTTGAGGACATTGCGCTCCTGAAGCCTAAGTTCTGGGAGCTTCATCTCAATCCTGTGCTCATCTACGACGGTGCCGCTGCTACCTTGCTTACGATCCAGTACAACTTGGTCCTCGGAACGCTGGCCCGCTATGCATCTCGTCAGCCTCACCTTCTCCCTCTGATGCAGGATCTCCTATGCTACCGTAAACTTGGACAATTCATGCTCACCGAGCTTGGACATGGCCTGGACGCGGAGAACCTCGAGACTACAGCAACTCTCCTGCCTTCAGGAGAGTTTATTCTACGCACACCATCACCTCGTGCGGCCAAGTAAGGGCACAATCTCCTGCAGGGATGAACGGCAGCTAATGTCCAAACTTTGAAGGTTCATGCCACCGACTGCGCCGGTTGGGACACCTACCATTGGCATAGTGTTCGCTCGCCTTGTGATAGACAACACGCCTCGCAAGATCCGTCCATTCGTGGTGGCTCTCAACGATGGATCTTCAATGTGTGAAGGCGTGACATGCAGGCACGTTCTTCTTTCGCGTAACGCATGGAGACAATGCCTGACCCGCTCCAGGTTGATGCCTTTGCGAGGAGGCACGAATCCGGTGAACCACTCCGTGACCTCATTCGACAACGTCGTCCTACCGGCGAGCGCTCTCCTCGGGTCTCTCGAGCAAGACCGGCCGTTCGATGACCTCATCTGGCGCGTCGCAGTCGGTTCTCTAGCTCTGGGCACTGTCTGCGTGAATACGCTGGGGATGGCGGCTACCATCGGACTTCTCTACAGTCAACGTCGCATGGTCACGGACGCCAAGGGTGGCCATATACCCATCTTCCATTTCCGAACCCAGCAAATACCCATCCTTTTCGCGACGGCACAGGCATACGTATACAAGGCGCTATCTCGATGGTCCACGTCCTATTTCTCCAACCCCTCCCATGATCCGAGGGCTCGCCAAGGGGTTGCAGCTGCAGTGAAAGCCGTCATCACCAATCATGCATTGGCAACACTCATAGCAGTCTCCGACCGATGTGGCGCGCAAGGACTCTTCGAAGTTAATCAACTCTCAAGGCTGTTCGTGAGTGTTGTTCTTTCTCGTCGCGTTCTCGCCGCTAACGACATCTGTAGAGCGAGGTCCGCGGAATCGCTATTGCTGAAGGCGACATCTTGGTCGTCTCTATCCGTACGTTGCCTCAGTCATCACTTCCGGGATAGCCAGGCTCATAGCGATCAGGCCTGGCTACAGAACTTGTACTTGGCCGTTTCCAGATGCCGCAGCCCATATATCCCGATAGTCTCCTTGCCCAACATGAGAAGGCGATCTATACCGAGCTGACAGACACGTTGGCTTCGGTGGCGCACCACCGCAGTGAGGGTGTCAACAAACGCGTACTCCCGCGTTGCCTCGCTTATGTTGAAGCAATCGGACATCGACTAGCCTTCGATGCCGCTGTGGCTGCAGGCGTGCTGCCCGAGCTCGTCGAAGTCTTTGTAGCCGACATCATCAGACGGGACTCAGCCTGGTTCTCAGAAGCAGGTCTGACACGGCGCGAACAATTGGCCCGGGAGGAGTCTGCGTTCGACGCCCTTCTTCCTCACATTGACACCCTTGTCGACGAGCTCGGCGTCAAGCCCTATGTCTCGGCTCCCATCGTGTCCAACGAGGCTTGGACGGCGTTCGCCGATGGTTTGCAGGCATCTGGCGAGCTTCGGACCGAATCAGTCCTTGCGTTTAATCACTCTACCCTATCAGCTCGCTTGTGATACTATTTTTTGTCTTCCATACGCGATACTATCCTACTATCCTTCCGCCATACACTCACTCTCTGTCATACACACCTTACTATGGAGCTTGCAAAGATTATTTAATGGACAGTGCTACTAGATGTACAGGATTTTTAGAAATGGACATTCATATCATATATATGCAGGTCTCTTCGTTCTGTGTAGCTCAAGAACGGCAGCGGAACTTGTGGGACGCCAATGATCATCGATCATCGACGCAAGCAGACGCAAGAGGCTCGCGTGCCAGGTCTGGTGATCTGGTCACCGTGATGTGGCGCGGACACAACTTGGCTCTTACCTCGACAGCCGTCCTCAGTGAATTTTTGGGCCCCTCACATGGCATCACTACCTGACAATCCATCTTGGTCGCCATATCAGAAGCAGTATTCTCGATCCGTGCGGAGCAACCCTCGGGATGCTTTTGCAGCATTTTGCTCCTCGGTGCAGCCTCCTGCCACACCCTCAAACTCAACAGCTAGGACACTGAGCAAAGACGCTATTGCACAGCTGGAGGTCATCGAGTTTTTCCTAGATCATGCACAAAACAGGCGAGGCTACACATCTATCCTACATCTGGTCGGACCGGCATTCTGGGAGGCTTGTATCAGTACCGATTTGCTATTCGTCATGCTGGACTTGGTCGCCCAAGCCGATATGTCGATTCCATCTGTGTGCCCATTTTTATAGCTATCATGGGAGAGCGACGACTCACATTACGCTTCAGGTTTGGTCCTCAGAGACTGAGCGGATGCTTAGGTGCCTCAGCGGCTTCTCACTGATCTGGTGGCTAGATGTGGAGATGTCCGGTTTGGGCACGATATCCACCGTCGAAGCGCCCTCGACACTCTTCGTTGCGCGTTTCATACAGCGCTTTGACGCTGTGTGGGATCACATATGGAAACACAGAGCGCGTCTCATCTTTGCTAGCCAGAACGGTCCTGACAACTTTCGTACATACGGGGGTACTGCCATGTTGCAGGAAACCGGTCGCTACCTTGTGTTTGCGGCTCGCAAGCGACTGTACATCACACTTATACTCGATTCTTTGCTCCTACTCATACACTATCTAGGGCTGACTCCCCGGCTCCTGTGAAGTCTTCGAAATTGCCCGCTTTCCTTCTTTGGTCCTGGTGGTTGATTCCTCCGGAATCGGGCCATCAAAGTGATAACCGCGTGCTGGACGCATTCATACAGGTTTATATGAGCTCAGCCATCCCGCAACGGCGTGTATGGATGGAAGATGTCGTACTCAAGGATATTGGTGCAGAAAAGGTACTCTCAAAACTGATTCGCTCCATCACGGAAAACGAGATCATCGCTGGTGACCTCCTGGGGAACACACTACTTGCGCTCGATGAGATAGCTTCCTGGAAGCATCCCGATATGGCTCAAGCCGCTGGCCGAGTACCTATAACATCCACACTCGCATTCGCACTGCAGAATAGAGATGGTTCGGCTCGACCTTACATCGTCGACGACCGGCAGCCGGGTATGACGCATACGCATGTGAGATTTAAAATCTGGATCTCGTGCGCTCATCTACTCGAGTGAGTGTACACCCTCATGTTGCCTTTCGCTGAACTTAGGTCATCTACAGGGCCGTTGCTTCGGGACTCGCGAGCGGTACGACAAAGGCTGAAATGGTGTCTGGAATCGACGTTTACAATATCTTCGCGCATGGCCTGACCCTGGCTTTGGCTGCCCTCCTGATTAACGAGAAAGAGGCGTATGGTACGTTGGCAGCCCAGTATCACATCATGCGGCGCTGACGGATGCCCACATAGAGGCATATAGTGGTTTCTACACGTCTTCACTACAGTGCTGGACGAATCACCTGCGCCAGCACAAGCGAGATAAGCACGCGTTTCCGACCGCTGTCGTCCAAAGTCTGCGTCACGCCGCAGGACCCGCGTGGTACGGGATTCTGCTTGAACTGCGCAGATTAACGGACGTACCCGTCTCTATCAAGCACTTGATTGAAGACTGGCTAGCTTTTGGGGTCGCAATTGGCTTCGACGAGGAGAAAAAGCGCAAGGAACATAACAATATGCTTGCCCACATCTGCTCCTGGCCCTTCTGCCCGTACCACTTGTCACCCGCAGAGGAGGCCTTCAAGCATTGTAAGGGCTGCGGAGTCGCGCATTACTGCTCTCCAGAATGCCAAGCCAGGTGCGCTCTGGTGTTGCGACAGTGCGAAAACCTAGTGACGCGATTCCACTCACAGCGATTGGAAGAAAGGAGGTCACAAAGCGGCGTGCCGTCGTCTCAAGACGTGAACAAACCAATATATACTTCTTCGTCTGTGAATAGTCATGTCTGGATTGCAACTACTAGTCCGAGAGACTTTGGGAGTAATGTACTCTACGGAACGCGGGCGCTTGCACGCCAGTGTGATGTATATGAGATTCGGGAAAGCGGAGACGAATATGTAGCGGATAGCAAGTGCGATAGGTATGGTAAAAAGCTCGACACCAATAGCCCAGATGAAAGATACGACAGCGACGTGATAGTATGATAGTATGGAAAGGGAAACAAGATCAGGGAAGCTCTAAGCAGATGCAGTGAGCACACTAGGCCCGGCGTCAAGCTTGCGCCTCTTCGGCGCGGGCGCCTCGTCCTCATCATCGTCAATGATCAGGATCGGAGAACCAGGCTCTTCGAGCATCGGCGCCGACTGCTGGTGTTGCTGTGGTGCCGCAGCTAGTGTAGATGGCGTCGCTGCCTTGTCCTTGTCCTTCTTCTCCTTCTTGCGCTTCTTCCCGCCTTTCTCCGCACGCTTCTTGTCACGCAAGTACCGCACAATGTGTGTCTGTAACGCGTTGAGCGCTGCCTGCACACCCTGTGCTTGGAGCGTCTTGATCTCGTCGGCGCTGAGATGACCGAAAACGGTCGGCGAGAGGTATAGCGTGTTCTCATGCAAGACGATTGGTGTTTCGGGCAGGAGAGGATTCGTCGATGGCGGAGTCGTCGCAAGCGCCGCCGCCGGCGCTGGGCCTACAACAATAGGCACGACGACGGGAAGTGGGGAGGCTGACGTAGATACAGCAGCAGTCGTGGGAGCTGCAGCGACTGGTGCTGGTGCTGGTGCCGACTTCGGAGCCGAAGCAGTTATGACTGAAGATGCTGGTCGCACAGGTGGTGGAGGCTTTGACTGATGGGGTGCGGGCTTTGGAGCAGCGGGTATGGAGGATATGACTGGTGCTGGTATGGGCATTGGCGTAGAGACGGTCATCAAATTGGCCGTAGACGTCGTGACAGGTGTTGATACGGGCTGACGCGTAGGCGATGTCGTGACAGGTGTGGCATGTGCGGTGGCAGGCGAAGGCAATGGTTGCGTTAATGGTGTAGAGTGTGGTAGCCGAGAAAGCGGAATTGGGAGGGCCGATGGGAAGATTGGCGGCGGAATGGACGACGGAAAGTTCGGATGGGCGGAAGGTAGGGACTGCATCACCGACGGGGACGCCGATGGAAGGGCCAAAGCCATAGGCTCGGCCTTGACCTGCGGTTGCGTCTGTGGCGCAGAAGACGAGGAGGGCTTGCCCTTGCCCTTGGTCTTGCCCAAACCGAGATGGCCCTCAGCCGCCAGCTTCGCGGCACGTGCCTCCTGCTCCTCGAACATGGCTTCGTACGAAGGCTCGATGGTCCAGTAATAGCCCTTGCCGCGATCACCCGCATGCCGCTCAACCTTGCGGAACGCGCGATTGCTTGAGAGGTTATGTCGGACTGATTTCTGGATAAGGAAGTCAGACGCCCTGAGTTCCCGAACGGGACACCAGATGCATTGATAAAGCGTGAGCACGTTGCACGCACCTCCCAGCCGGTCCCTTGATTGAGGTCATACCAGGTGTAGTTGCGCATCATCCAGTGCACGATCTCTTGCAGACTGCCGCGGCCGTCCATGTCCTTGATAGCGCGATAGCAGAGCTGGGCATATGTGAACGGCGGTTTCGGCGGCATCTCCTCGGGCTTGGGACGCGGTTTCGGCGGTTCAGCCTCTGCGGCTTTGCCCTGCAGCTTATCCGCCTTCCGTTTCTTGTTCCCGGCGCCACCCTTGCCCTTGCCCGGTTGAGGGGGAAGTTCGCTTGCAGCAGGTTTGCGCGGCGAGGGCCATGGATTTGCGGGCGGAGGAGGCGAAATGGAGGGGATGGACGAGGGGGGCGTGATGTCCATGCCGGTGATGTCGACCGAAGGTGAACGAGCACGGCGCGAGGATGCACGTGATGACGGTGAGGGTGAGTCCTCAGGTGCGGGCGGGGGCGGGAGCATGAACAGGAATGTCCGGGACGCAATCTGGATCTGCGACCTGCCACCGATGAATATCATGTCGGATTTATGTAAGGAGACAGGCGGCCTACCTCTCGCCCAGAGGCACCTTGCTGCCCTTGCCAGACCACGCGCCGTCCACCCAGGCCCCGTTGCGCCCGAGGACGACGAGCACAAATCTCTCCTCCTCGTCCTCGTATTCGATCTTCGCGTGCAGACGGGAGACAGACTTCAGCGGCCCGAGGTCCACGTCGACCTGGGTCTGGTCTGAGCCAGAAGCGGTAGAGGCGGGTATGCACCGGCGTCCGATGGTCACGGAGAGCGTTTGGAGGTAGTACGTGAACTTTGGAAAGACAAGGGAATAATAGGCGGATATCTTGTCCGTCTGCGGGGCGTCGAAAGGGGCGTTCTCGGGGTCGTTGGCGACGGCATGGAAGACGGGACCCGGAGATGCAGTTCGGGACATTGTACTGGCGCGGTGAGCGAGTAGCCCGGGAGAGGGAGGTCGTGGTATGAAGCCAAGTCGACCCGAACGAACGTGCTTTCCGACTCTACAACAAAACAAGTGACTTGTCACCCGGCGCTCGGCCCGATCATGCCGCCCTACTGCGTCACTCCGTCCGCCGGCACCATCTCTTGCGCACGACCACCAACAACAACCATGGCCACCAGCAAACCGGAACCCATCTCTGAAGTCGCACTGGACACCGTCAACGAACTCGCCGACCGCGACGTAGACTCCACAGACTCATCGGCTCGGTACGCGGCCTACGGTGCTCGTTTGCGTACGGCTCTGCGCGCAGGCCACCGCTATCTTGCCTACGTGAGTACAACCGCTCCTTCAGTTATTCCAATGTAACGTCTGACATAGACCAGTGATGTTGGCGAGGCATTTCGACCGATCGTACCACCGTTCGCCGTGACCGCAGCGTACGGTATAAGTTGGATGTACTTGATAGGGTAGGCCGATAGCGTCTACATTTAGGTGTACGATGTTGACTGTATATACAGCGACGTGGGGTACGAGACCTACAAAGCGCACAGACGTGGCCCGTCCGCCACTGAGGCGGCAAACTTCACCGAGACGTCTCGCCTCGGCATGATTGCCGTCAAGCGTGCCGCATTTCAGTCGATTGCCTCAATGTATGCGTCATCTAGCCTTCGTCTTTGTGCATCGCAACTGATATCACTGGTCATAGGGCACTGCCGGCATTGACTATTCATACAGCGGTCAAGCAGGCGAAGAAAGTCTTCGATAAGTCGAAGAACACTCGCATCCGCGCCTGGGGGCCGACATTCACCGGTCTGGCTATCGTACCCGCGCTACCGTATCTCTTCGATCACCCTGTTGAGAAGGCTACGGATCGTGCGTTTGAGTGGATTGAGGAGCGACTGGTCGAACGCAACGCCGCAAAACGTGAGGCCGAGAATAGATCCAAGCCGACGTAGCGACAATACTACGAATATGCATGTCGTTAGGCCCCACGGACCACTACTCTTACGAACACTACAGGCGTCAACTGTACATAGATATCCTGGAATAATGAGGTTGCCATGTTAGATTAATCCTCAATGTGCCATCCCTTGTCAATGCTGCTTCAGTCATTGCTGTTCAATCGCCTCGGGTCTGAACCGAATGACGCATCTATGATGACCCCCATTGGCAGGTGGGCTTGTCCTTTCTCAACCGCATTTGCGACAGCCGCATTCACGATGAGACGGAATATGTATCTCTGTCATAGCGTGACCTTCGCGGGTCCTGTGCTCCCCAGCTGGAATGTCGCGGATCGAGGATGGCAGGGAGGCGCAGAAACTGGCGTGCAAGAACTATCTCTTCTCCCGGTAATATCTATTTTCGTGACCTCATCCACAGCCATTATCCAAGTGCACTATTCCGGCATGATGGACCATCTATGCGTTGTACTCCCAGCGTCAAAAGGAAAGATTCCATAGGTGTCCTTCCCTTGCCCTGAAGTTTCCTCCCGCCGCTGGCCAGCGACAACATTCATTGCTGTATCATCCCGTTACGAAGACGGAGAACCTCGTATTATGGGCGCATGACCGATTGCCTTGGCTAGGGAACGACAACTTCGTCACCATGCGAGTTTCTCGACTCCACGACCAGGCGCACATGCTAGGGGCAAAAATGGTGTTTATCTGGAGAACAGCAATGATATCTTCGACTGTAGTACCACAAACGGCGAAGGCATGGCGACACAGCCCAGTCACGAAGTGACGCATAGAGGGTGATACTGTCGGCTTCGCGACGGCAAAGAATGAATCCTCATGTGTAGCCGCATGGCCCATCAGTGAGGAATACGCTTCGGCCCCATGGTTTCACATCGCGACACCGCGACCAGCGACACGACGCGCTGCGATGGGACAATGATCTCCGGCCGTTTGTTCAGAGAATATGCAAGATTGATACACATAAGTACACCCAATGCAAAAGAGTCCTACACGTTCGCTTCTGAACTGTCCTATCATGCCTGAATCCAACACCGAGTCTAGAGACCAGCAGCCGTGCGGAGCAGGCCTACGACTGGTGTGCCCAGACCCGTCACGGGCTAGATAAGCAGTTAGACAAGAAATCGCGCAAGTCATTGATATGTCACTCACGTCCCAGCCGGAAGTAGCGGGGAAACCGTCAGTGCCGCAACCAGGGTTCGAGCCTACGAAGAAAACGCTGGTTAGATTGCAAGGTAACGACAACGTTCGGCTCAGCTTGACATACCAGACGTGATATCCGTGAAAGCGGAGGCGGCAGTGGAGTACAACCAGGGGTTGAGGAAGCCGAGCGGGGACTTGCCGGCGGCAACAAGCTCGTCGTTGAGAAGAGCGATGACACTGGCGAAGATGGGGCTCGAACAACTGGTGCCATCGACAAGGCCGGTCTGACCCTGGTAGACGATCTCGCAGTTCACACCTGTTACCACATCAGTTGGGAGGAATTAGCGTATATACTGTCGCACTCACCCGCAGCAGCAATGTCGGGGAAAGCGCGGCCTGATGCGTTGTACTTGCCCGAGTACTCACTGCCGAGCGTGTCCAGGTAGGCAGCGACAGCGTCCGCCTGATAGTCGGGCCTAACGGCGTTGTTCAGATGATGCAATACGAATAGAATCAGAGATACACACGTGGGGAAGATGTTGCTGAAACCACCGCTGGAGAAGTCCGCTGCAACCTCGGGGTAACCGGAAGTGGCACCGACGCTCGTCATGCTGAAGGAAATAGTCAGCATTGTGCGATACCGTGAGTTTGCTTTAGACGAACTAAGGGCATCCGGAGGGGAACGTGGCGAGGAACTGCGCTGAGCAGCTCGTGGTCTGCGAGCCGGCTACGCCACCATCACCGCTAGAGAACAGGATGGAAGTACCGCGAGCACCGAGCTGCATGTACGCATTGCAAAGGGACCTAAACCAAATCAGCGTTGACCTTTACATGACAAGCTGAGGGGATTTACTCAGCGACACCCGCGGAGATCTCATCCTCGTTCGCACCGTAGCTAGTGGTGAGGACATGGGGAGGGTTATCCATCGCAAGCAAGTACTCGATGATGTCCTGGAAACCGAAGATGTCGTCGCTCTGGTCCTCACCGACGGAGATGAAGCCTAGGTCGTAGCTCGTTAATGAATGCGCTTCGGCATATAAAGGTGACAACACACTCGTCGGGACGCCCGTCGCTACGCCGATGGTGTACTGGACATCGAGATCCTGAAAACTGATGAGGATCAAAAAAGTAACCTAGAGAAGCCTTTAATTCTTACAGCCTCCACTCCAGCATCTGCCGTGCTCTGTGGGTTCGAGCCCTGGAGGTGGATCAGCATACAAGGGATGTTAGGAAGCCCACAGATCACGCACACCGTCGATGGTCTCAAGAGTGAAAGTGGTTGAAGAGTCAATATCCGTGCGGAGGTCCGTAAGGAAGGTCTTCAAGTCTAGATTCTGTTAGGCGACAAAAGCAAGCCAAAGTTCAACATGACTCACCAGCCTCGTTGGCGTACTGCTCGATGAAGCCAGACACAGCGAGCTTGTTGCTCGACTCAGTAGCAGGTGCTGATGGAATGCCATACATGGCTTGCAGGCAGGCCGGGGTGATTGTCGACGAGCAAGATGACGGGACGGCATCACTGGTCAGAGAGCTGTTGGACTTGGCCGCAGATGCCGGTTTAACCGTGAGGGGTTGACGGTTGAGCTGGACAGGGAACCTAGAAGACGGTCACTTTAGAGAGTGTGCTTGAAAGAGGTCGAATGTTGTATACATCGTGGTAGGGTGGACAAAGGAGAGGTGCTCCTTCAAGGAAACCGGGATCGAATACTCGAGCGTACGGACGGTCTCGGTGCCGGTCGAAGTGTGCTTGAAGGTGTCGAAGGTCGTGGCGAACAGGCTGTTCGCCTGATCGACAGTAACTTCGATCTTCAAGATGTCGCCGGCGGGGGAGTACGTAGACGACTTGATGCCGTTCTCGGAAAGGAAGGCGTTGACAGCATCGAGTGTTTCCTGCTTGGGGGCAACGAACGACTCAACCTGTCGAAGCATATCAGCAACGGAGAAGCATTGTACGTATCACACGTTCAGCACCTCTTCCTTGCTCAAGAACTTGCCGTATTCAGAGCTCGAGGGAGTGCTGACGGAGTACAGACGCTGCTCAAGCGCAGACATGTCTCCTTGAACGAGACCGAGTCGTAGGGTAAGGGTTTCCTGCTTCGGCGCGGCGCCGACCTTGACGAAGCCTGTCGGGACTGCCTCGCGACGCTCGTGGAGGGCCATCGTCCGCGCATTGAGCAGCGTGGCGCTGGCGAAGGGGAGAACGGCCGCAAGGAACGCGAGGTAGCGCATTGTAAAAACCGCCGGGGGAAACAAGGGAAACCCTTGGTCGGATATTGAAGGCCATAAACTGCTTTTATAGCCATCGTTACGTCCATCAAATGAGCGGGATGAACAGGATGCGCTTCTGGTCGGTAAGAAGCCCTTGTTCGCATTCGCTCATGCGAGCCGCACTGCCCGTGGACGATCCACATGGTAGGCTGGAAGTGGTCCAAGTGCAATGCAATTGACAGAGATGATAAGCAGTGCACGCGACATGATTTCGATGAAAGGAGCAGCAGGATCTCCCGCGCTGGCGTTCTGCTTGACGCCAAGACCGTAGACTCGTGTTGTCGGTATAGAAGCATCTGACGGCAGGGGAATTAGGCGCGAGGTGCACCGATAACGCAACGGGTATCGTCCTTCCATGTCGTCACTTCCGAGATGGACGCTGTGCCGACTGCCTTGATTACTGCGTATGGGCGCAGGTGTACTCCAGGTTGTGAGCGAGCAAAACCTCCTATGCGCTCTCAGATGTCGACATTGAGTGGGGCTCAATCCCTTGCAGTGAGTTGCAGCACGGCTCGATTCATGGGTGCTCATCGAAGCGCGCCAGAGCGCTGAACCACGTTCAAGGTGTCGAGAAGTGCTTCGAACTTCGGATGGGGTAGCCAGTACTAGGAACCAGCCATACGCTCGCGTGACCCCGGTGTATGCAGCTTGGTGGAAGAAGCCAAGATAACGTCGCCGCCGAGAGCGCATCTATGATCTGGCAACGTCCAGGAAGTATGGACCTTGGGTCGTGCTGGACTCGACAGCGTGGTCGTTTCACTCCCGGCTACGCGACACCGGCAGTTCGCAGTCAGCCCACCCACGTCCCACAGCAAACCGAGCGATATCATGTGCTGTACGAAGACGGCTGACGAAGGAGATCGAAGAATTGTTGCACAACAAGCACCGCGACGATGGTCGGGCCGAGAGAAGCACGCGACCGGCCGGCTGTTGTGACGGAAGGGGACAGCTTCAATGACTCGGACTTAATCGCTATACTATTGGGATGTGGCTTAGCGGCATACGTAGAAGGTTACTGTCGAATCCTTAGCTTTGCCGTGCATTGGCGACATTGGTATAAACCTGTCTAATCACAGGACGCTACAAACTAGGAGCGCCTAAAGGTGCGCGATTTCCCACACGACTAGAGGAGTAATGCTAGATATCGTGCGCGTGGGCCCCATATCGGAAGAGGCTAAATGCCTCGTTGCTACCACAGACATGCAACAAGTACGGAGGCAAAATTATACAGGATACGGGGAGCACGAGTATATGTAATCAGAAGCGTCGGATCGAAGTCAGTCCATCTATATCCACAGCATAACCCAGAGAAACAGAATACAGGCAGTCTAATTGAGCTCCTGCATAAGCAACTTGTTGACGGCCTTGGAGTTATCCAAGTATACTATTCTATGTGTCAGTCTTGTACGCCTGACGGCCTGCAAGAAAGGGACTTACCGTGGTGCCCGGCGTCATTCACTATGTACATCTTGGCGTTCGGGTTGCCGGCCTTACGCAAGTTCTCGACAGAGTCCGATCCGCCTTTGGGGTCCATCCAGTCATGTTCGCCGTCTATATATCGTGTCAATATCGGATCGAGGGGATGGTCCCAACGAGTACTTACAAACGAAGACAACCGGGATCTTGAGGGCAGCAATACGGTCGACGAGTGGCATGCGTGCGTGTGCACCGGGAGCGAGTAGGTGTGATATGCAATACTCTCCAGAGCCCTTCATACTCGTGATGTTCACTATGTAGTCATGCATCTCCCGCGTGGTTTCTTCGTCCAAAGCGCCGAAACGTCGCGACGAGTACTACAGAGCTGTGAGCGATGCTGATTACTGACAGGGCGACTGCAAAAGCACGGACCTTGCCAACAAGCATCGGTCCCCAAAAGACCGACGAACGAACAACTTGGAATGGGCTATAACCTTCCTCCCACAGGTACGTGAACAACTTCCGCGAGCGGCTCTCCTTCTTCTTCTCCGCGGCTTGCTCCTTCTTGAGCGCGTCGACACTTCCGCTACTTGCAAGATCCGCGGAGCCAGAGCCGCGACTTTGCACGTCGGTTAGCTCGCGAGAAGGTTCCTCGGTGTTGTTGGGGTCGCGAGGTACTCCGGCAGGCGATAGCAGAATGAGTTTACTGACGCGCTCTGGGTGTCGAAGAGCATAAGCGACGGAGAGATAGCCACCGAGTGAATGCCCGACGAGCGTCATCTTGTCTAAGCCCATCTTTTCGCGCCACTGTTCTAAGGAATCCAAGAAGAAGTTTTCGGCTTCTGCTACGCGGGCTGGCGTGTCGGTGCGTTTAGCATGTATCCGGAAAGGTGGGCGAGAAGAGCGACCCATGCCGAGCCAGTCGAGAGAGTATACAGGCGCTCCACGCGTGCCCGCCCACTTTGCAAGCGCAGGGAAGTTGAGGAAGAAGAACCCAAGACCAGCTCCGTATCCGTGTAGGACGACCGCTGGCGCGGGAGCGTCGGGTTTGGGCGCTGTTGGCCGAATGGCAAACATATTCAGATAGTTCTTCGAGTCAAGCACTGGGATTCGCTCCCTGTACGACACAACCGGACCATCTTCGCTACTCAGAGATGCCGGCGGCGTAGATCGGTATGACGGAAGCCGTCGAAGCAGCCGCTCTTCGGCAATGGCACTGTTCTTTTCGCCGAGAGCCCACCTGCGGAGTCTGAGTACGTTTCCGAGCATGTTTTCACGCAACATACCAGTGTTTGAAGCTGGCGGAGAAGGACGCAGGAATGTCTTTCGCGGGCGGCAATTGGGAAAGGATGCCATCAACAGTGGAAGAGCCCGAAGCCATGGCCGATCGTAGCAGAAGACGTGAAGCCACGAGAACAGATAGGAAGGCGCAGAGTAGCGCTAGAAGGGTATATCTATGTCCAAGTCTATAAAGCAGGGTGGTGGTCGAGAGCAAGCGAGTACGGGGCTGTGTGGATCCATCGTCGCGGTTAGTGGACACGGTGCCGCTGTGACGCGCGGCATACCCGCGCGCAATCGGTGAGGTAAGCAGGGCTGTGGCACGTCCAATGTCATCAACGGCCAACACGTTCACTGAAGCGTCATCCTTCTTGTAGTCTTGACCGGGCCTCCGTATGCGGTGTCTTCCCGAAGCATGTCCGAGGGAGCATACGTCCTTCGCCGGCACGAGACATCATTATGTCTTATGGACTCTAGGGTCTTCGCGTTTCCAGCGAGGGGTGGCGGCTTAGGGCACACAGCAGTGTCAAATTCTTCAGAGCTGATAATCCTATCTAGTACAACTTGTCTAATATCGCTAGGGCGTCCGTAATTGGGAGGGAAGATATGGGGTCTACCTCAACCTCGGAAGAAGGGCTGCTGAGGCATCTGCGGGAGATGTTGTGCCATCTGCATCATGGTGTGCATCTGCGGCATTCCCTGCATCTGGTTCATCTGGTTCATAGGCTGGCCGAGAGGCTGCATACGCGGCATTTGAGGCATTGGCTGCATAGCCTGTATGGGCATTTGCGCTGGTCCTGCGCGTTCAGGATACCTAACAACTAGATAAGGGTATGATGCACATGACTCGTTATCGACGTACCGGGCGGCCACCCGTTCGGCTAAATCTTCCTCGAAAATCTGGTCATAGCCAAGCTGATTACCCAGTGTGAGCCAGCTGCATTTGTCTGTCAGCTATACATAAGGAAAGTCAGTGTTTGCTTACCCGGGGCGAGTATTATGCTTGCGACCAAATATCTCTATCTTACGTCCTCCCGGGCACATACGTTCGATGAGACCATAAGCCTCGTCCGGTTTACGACTCGTCTCGCGCACTTCGGAAACGATAACATCGGTGTCCAGCCCTCGGTTAACCCAAGACGGGAAATTAAGCTGGCCATCCTTGTCGAGATTGGTCTTGACGCCGACCAGCATGTGCTCTTTGGTATGATTCAGCCAATGCCCTGTACGACCAGTCCGGATTACACGTTGTAGCTGGGCCGATTATCAAATTGTGGATGAAAGCAGGGGTTCGTGCGCGTACTTGGTTTGTCTTCACCCACACAACTTCGTCGACACGCGTGTACCCCCAATGGCGCATGCACTCTCGCCCAACCTCCATCGCACGGCCCGTAACCCAGAGAAAGAGCAGACCTTCATCTTGCAACATTGGGATGGGCATCGCTCGCATTTCGTCGTCCGTCATTGTACCATACGGGAGGCTCATATGGATATCCCAAGGCGGGTCGGCCATGATAACGTGGAACTTTCCTAGAACTGAGTAATCGAAGCGGCGTACGTCGCAGTTGATCCACTGGGCCGGCATCTGGTATTTCATTCAGCACATTGCGACGCCCACCAAAAGCTGCATACACACGAGTTCCCCAATCTTGCCTGTTGGACCAAGGCCTATCGGTAAACGGTAAGGCTTCTTTCCCAGCTTCTCGTCTTTCTTCACCTCCGCACCAGCGTCCCCAGGGTCGAAGTCGATCTCATAATGAAGGTACCGACATGGCGCCTTTTCCTTTCCTCTTCCACCGGCACCAAGTCCGGATGGAAGCTGAGGCTTGTTGAACTGATTATTCATATGGTTTTGTGCTGAGGGTAGAGGAGGGATGGATGGCGATTGCGCATATGTAGGCTCAGAGTAGCAGGTATTCAGGTACGAACAGTGTCCGAGGGATATGTCCGTATGGGGTCGAATCAAAGGGCGAAAATGCACGCGACTGCAGACGCCGGACTGCGGGGGAGTCTGTGCGGCTCTCGCCTTCATGCAGTCGTCTTTCTGGATGTGTGAGCAGATAGGCTCAAACGCTCCGCTAGTAGAACGAAACTAGCGTCATAAAATCAGCGCTATTGAATGCCACAGCAATAAAAGGTACGAGCCTGTTCGGCGAGTATCTTCCCCTTGGCGGTGCTACTTTGGAGGATAGCGTATACTTCTCTCAGCTCCTTGCTTAAAGCCCCCAGAGTCGTACTTGGGGACAATATCTCGTCGGGTGTCTCATCTCCTTCATCTCCACTACCAGCAGCCGAGTCTGCCTCCTCGTCCTTGACCCGTTTGCGCTTCCCAAGGGTGCGATGCACAGGGTACGGGCTGCCCGCACCGAGGTGCACGTCCACGACAGTGAGTCCAGTCGCGTCGCGCGCTAGTGCAATAGTACCGTATTCCCAGTGCTTAGACAAAGCCTCCAGTATACGTTCAAAGCGAACGCCATCGGTAAGACGGAGTACGGGGCGAGAGTCCGGCGCCTTGGCAAGTCCATGAGCAATGACGGATGCTAACAGCTCTGCGGAAGTAATGGGCGCATGAGCTTCCGAATGAGAGTACAGTTCGTAAAGAATAGTAGCCACGGCGCCCTGCTGCTCTTCTGTGATGGTCATGGCGGTCAAGTACAAGATTGACGAACGCTCCTCTAACGTCGAGACGCGTCGCGATCAGCACCCCATGACCCGCGGTCAACACGATTCTCAATTATGTGTCACAGAGATCACGAAGTTTCATTACATTTACCGGCGGCAGAGGGTGGTGCAATCAGACAACGCCCTCGCCTTTTACTAGGGCGTTCCGTGTGCCACCCTCACATCAATGCTGCCTTGCGAATTTTTCGGCCTTCAGCTTGCTCTGAATCCTGTTTAGACTGCTTTTTTGCCCCGCAACACACTTAGGATCCGTACGTACGAGATTATATTGCTACGTATGCCTTCGGATTACCAACTGAGTTTGCGTGAGGTATCATGGAATGATCTCTTCGCCCTTCCAATCCCAGACCTTGCCTCTGTCCTTTGCCGTCAGCCCCGCTACGACTTCCGCCAGTTGTTCAGCCGCGTACTCGGGCGTAAACAGCTTGTTCGCCGGCACATTCTCCCAGAACTCTTTGCTGAGATCCGTCTGTACGGTCCCAGGATGGACAGCGATGGCCAAGCCAGCAGTCTTCTTGTGCTGAAGCTCGCGGTCGAAAGTCTTCACGACTTGATTTAGCGCCGCTTTCGACGACCTGTACGAGTACCACCCGCCGAGCTTGTTGTCCGACACCGATCCAACGCGTGCAGAGACGTGCACCCACTTCGACAAGTGACCCTTCGGGACTGTACGCGCGTGCGGAAGGAAGCGAGAGAAGTATTTGATGCAGAGCATATGCGAAATAGCGTTCACTTGGAAGGTCTCGCGAATCTGCGCGAGGTCGAGGGCGGCAGCCTTGCGTTCGGGGTATAGTATCCCACCAGTGAAGAAGGCGGTATGGAGGTATGGTTCGGCGCCGCGGGGTACAGCACGGCCGAGTTCATCCGCTGCATCTGAAATGCTCGACTCCTCGAGAAGGTTTAGCTTCAACGTCTTGAGCCGGTCCTTGTCGACGTGGAGGGTGGACAGTATACGGGTGGACGCCTCCTCCGCCGAGCCGCTGCGGTAGGTTGCAAAAACGGGCAGGTCTGTAGTCCGCAAGTAATGGCGCGTGAGGGCAAGAGAGAGCCCCCGCGTGGCGGGAGTTACGAGGATGAAGGGGTACGGCGCCATACGGTGGTAGGGTGTTCACAATGAACGATGAAGTTATAGCTGCGACGCTCACCTCTTGAGCGAGAAGCGCATCGAATGAAACTACTCCGCGTGCATCTGTCACGGCAGTGGCATTCGCGATCGCTTCCATTCATCGAGGGTATGCGTGGAGATACCGGTTGTAATATGGCGTACAGAGAGGCAATGGCTACAAGAATCCCGAAGGTCCGCGTTGATGCTGCAAGTACAATGTCTGGTAGCAGTCCAAATAGGTCCATGCGTTGATACACCGTCCAAGATCGTCCAAGATGAAGTAGAGTGAAAATGCAGACGCAATGAGATCGATCAACCTATGAAGGACTCGAGCGCGTCATCCCAGCCGAGCGTCGCCGGGTCGATATTGAGTTTCCTCAACATGACCCCCAGCGTTTCCTCACGCTTCACCTCCTCCTGCTCCTCTTCGACTTTCATGGCATCGTCCTCTCCATTGTCTCCCTCCTGTTCATCCTTCCCTTCCCATCCCCAGCTTGAGCGCCAGCTATCGCTCGCCGGAGTTCCGTCCACATGACCACTATCTGTCGCCATGCCACGCACAATATCCCACAGCTCGTAAGCAGCCTCTCTTCCAGCCTCACGCCATTTCCTTGCCAAAGCAGCCAGCTTCTCCTCGTCCCGGTCTCTCTCAATCTTGATTGCACGCCTCAGAGCAGTGACTTTACGCTCGAGCGTCAGGATCATGGCCGTCGGAAGCACCACTTCTCGACCGCTGCCCGCAGGCCGAGCAGCCATCGGCGACTTAAATTGCGCGGCGGCGCGCGAGCTCCTGGCGAGTTTCGTCATGGTCTTCGCGACGTTTGGAGGTGCAGAGCAAGCCGTTGTCGCGAGAGGCGTACAATGGTTATTGGGCGCCGCTGTGACTTGTTCGACAAGTGCTGGCGGGCTCTTCCGGACTATCGTAGGAGGGCGAAACGGAGTGATGAGTTTCTTACGTGAGCGTTGCTGCGAAGTAGGAGTCTGGCGTCGTATTGTCACGGGCGGCGGAGAGGACCTGATGCCATCGGTACGCTGTTCATGATATGGGCAAAAGCCACTTCTGATGCAAAAAGATCTGGCACTCACAATCCGTTTCACTGGAGACGAACCAACCACGAGCTTTGGCACGTCCTCAAACTGCTATATGCGATAAGGATAAGAGACATGGGAGGAGTTGATGGAGCTCACCTCGCTACTAGCGCGTTTACCAAGGACAGACGAGGGCGGAGGCGAGCTTGCAACGAGGCGCTCAGAAGTCTGGACTGGGGAGCTCGGAACCGGCTGGGTGGACCAAGCAGGAGAGCAAGTACGTAAGTCGTCAACAGACATCGATATGATGGCCGGACAAGACGTGTCTGTGTCTCGTAGAGGGACGTGCGACTCGTAAGGTGAAGTGGGGTTACTTGTCGCAGGCGATGTCGGCATGGAGGACGGAGGCAGTGGTGAAGACGCCTTCGGACTCACGTCGCCGTATACGGAATTATCCCGAGATGATGGTTTCGAGGCCGAAACAATGGTTGCAGATGAGCTATCATGGGAGTATGAGCTCGACGTTTGAGGTGTATGTGTATGCGCGATCGGGATCGGGAGCCCGTCTGGAGAGAAAGCTGGCTGGTGCGTCTTGTCGACATCTCCTGCATCTGGGGCGAATAAGACTTCAACTGAGGTGACCTTCGGCATCTCTTCGTCGATCTGCTCTTTGTGCGTGGTAGCAGACGAAAGCGGCGATGAGAGTGGATTGGGTCCGGGAGATGCGGACATTCTGTCTGCAACCGACCGGGTATCCATCGCGATCAACGAGCGGTGAAGAAGTTCAGCTGTAATGGGCAGACCGCAGTCGGACTAGATGAAAGGAAAACAATTTAGAGATCAGAAGGAGAAGATGAGCGCATATAGCCCACCATACTGGTGTCCTCCTCGAAGTCATTCGTACTTCGGTCAGTGGTGTTCGGTGGATTCGGGAGAGAGGGCGCGTTTTCATGGGAGGATGACTGCGGGGGCAACGTGGGCGAGCGCTTGTGGGGCATGGTCATTTCCTATACACATGAAGACTTTCATGAGCGGAGAATCATGAGTGGAAGTGAACACGCACAATATCTTCCACCGGACTGATGGAGAGTCGGGAGAATGACACGGCCTTGATGATGTGCATGTGAAGTTAGCTGAGTATATGCGCGTGGTAGAGTGTACATACAGCGAGATCTCCGTCTATCGGTCCTGAAAGCCGTCTAGCATGTCTTCTATTGATCTATATCTCTGTGAGCACTTTCTTGGGGACTATATCTGAAAGATGAGCCCACAGTACGCGTTCTCGAGTCCGCCGAAGTCGACAAACTCTATTGAACGCGTCAGCCGACGACGTGTCGGAGCATAAGGTGACGTACCCTTGTGTGCACATGCAACATCATATCCGCAGTGCTTGAGAGAGAATCGGAGGGTGCTGGGAGAGGGCGTGGTGGTGGGAGGAGGAAGAGCGCGGGTAATCGGGGACGCGTCGGAGAGCGCGACGCGTTTGTTGGTGTCTGTTTATTTTGATCTCGCTCGGGCAACGAGGTTCCGAATGGGCGAAGCAACGCGGCTCGACAACAACGACCATCATCTTCTTAGTGTTCACATCGCGCAATCACCTCGCCAGCTCAGTACTCCTGAAGGCCCACGCACTATTACTAGACAACATTGCTGGTCTCTCACGGGACTGTGCATCGAGGGAGATTACCCAGGTGTTGGACTTCTGCTTCGATCCCACTCCTCCCCGTCCCGGCGCATATGTCACCACACTCCTTGCCGAAAGTCTGGGTGTGTTGCGTGATTGTACTTTGGGAGAAAACTAAGATGTCAACTCGTTCCACTACGAGATCTCCACGCGGAGCGTTTGCTACCGCTCACACCGAGGACTAGCGATAATCCGCATTTTTGGACCTTCGCGACGTCTATAAGTGAAGAAGATCATCGTGGACGATGTGATCCACCGACTCTCACTGAGATGCGCTCTCTTGCTCTAGCTGTCATTGCTGCGTCTATCGCGTTCTCTGTGGCAGCACCGGCTAGTGAGAGTAATGGCGTTAGGATTCCTCTGGCTCCGCGTAAGCGGTTCGCCAACGAGGATGGCGTAGCGAACATTACTCTGCTTCAGAAGCATCTCGCTCGCTCGCTCGACAAGGTCTCCCGTGGCTTTGATGCCTTCGAACGTAATACCGGCGCTAAGCATCCTTTGGACACTGGCAATCGCCCTTCCAAGCGCGCGACTGGGGCAGACCCTCTTACGGACGACGATGAGGGAGAGTTATGGCAGGGAGCCATCTCTGTCGGTTCTCCTGCCAAAGGCTTCACGGGTAATGGCGCCGACGCTCATGCAATTTCACAATGATTGACACGATGCCTCGTAGTGGATTTCGACACAGGGTCCTCAGATCTCTTTCTTCCGTAAGCCTCACGTTTGTACGTGGCTCGGCCCCCAAAAGACTCATGTCCTCAGTGGTGCCAATTGCGGTGCGACTTGCCGTGGACATACTCTCTACAGCCCTGGGACGAGTGCTACCAACACTCGCCAGCGTTTCAGCCTTGCCTTCGGCGATGGATCTACTGTTCAGGGCACACTTTTCACGGATACAGTGACCGTAGCTGGTCTTACTGTGAGCCCTCTCCTTTTCCATACGATCCAGACTTCAACTGAGACCGATATAGGCGACTGGCGCAGCTGTCGGCGAGGCTTCTCAGTACAGCACTGGTTTTGAGATCGCGAAGTGGGTGCATGGACTTCATCGCAGATTCATGCCGGCGCTTATGCGTTTCTAATAGCTTCCCACCCGATGGTCTTATGGGCATGGCGTTCCAGCAGATCTCCGTCTTCAATAAGCCGCCATTCTTCATGTCGCTCATCAGCCAGGGAAAGGTTACTTCACCCGAATTTGGAGTCAAATTGTCGACGTCGGGTTCAGAGCTTTTCCTTGGTGGTGCCGACACCAGACTCTTCACTGGAGCCTTAACGCAAGTTCCAGTGACGACAGTCGTAAGCATGTGGTTCCATCAGCGAGGCCACTACTTTCTGGCTGACTAGTATAGGGCTTCTGGGAGGTGAGCATGGGCGCAATCGGTGCGGGAGGGCGTACAGCAGCAACTAACATTGACACCATCGTGGATACGGGCACCACTCTCGTCGTCGGCGACATGAACACTGTTAGGGCTCTCTATGCAGACATACCTGGCTCGGCAGATGCGAGCAACACCGCCGGACCTGGCTTCTTCACATGTGAGTTGGACCTTTTGCGCCCAGTTGGAATCGGGGTACTGAATGCGCTCCCAGTTCCATGCAACACGGATCCAAAAGTTGCTCTCACTTTTGGAGGTAAGAGCTTCCCTATCTCTCTCGACACGTTCAATCTCGGCCAGCTGGAGGCGGGATCCAATGAGTGCGTCGGAGGGGTAATGGGAGCGTCGGGCCTTCCGGCCTTTATTGTCGGTGATGTGTTCTTACAGAATGTCTACACAGGTAAGTCGTGACCGTCCTCAATGAGAATTCTCAACTAAAGTGTTGAATCCAGTCTTTGATGTTGGAAACACGCGTGTCGGCTTTGCGACTCTCGCCTGAATTTTGCACGAATGTGTACACGGACAAATTTCTTCGTGTCTGCACATCCCTTTATAAACCTTATCTGGTAGCATGACCTGCATTGTGCGCTTTGGCCATGAACTAGGATGTGGCTCACCCATCTCACCCATCTCTCCTAAATGTGAATACAGGGATAGCAAGGTTTGATGGTTCAAGGGGATGTATATCTGGACGTATATGCACAGACTGGTGCGCTTCTGTCAGTTGAGCTATACGTGAGCAACTACTGGCCATCGCATCAGACTGTGCACCGAGGGAGTTTACTCAGGCGCTCGACGATCTCCCGTTCTGTGACCCCTAATCTCGGCTTGGGATACTTTTGGACCTTTCGAGATGACGTACAGCGTGCCATTCCGTGTCTTTCTCAAGGCTGCTTACCGTTCAACTCACTTGATGACAGCCTGCCTCCCATGACATGCTTCGGATGCGGTCGTATATGGTTGCCCATAGCGGAGGGCCGCAATCATGAACCTTCGCAAGCTCAAGTGTATAAGAAGCGCGCACCACTGACCCCGAGCATCATACCCAGGTAGCTCTTTGAAATGCGCTCTGCTACTCTTGCCATCCTTGCTGCGCTTGTCGTATCGGCCGTCGGGACCCCAGTCCGTGAAGATGGCCTCAAGATCCCCTTGAGTTCGCGCAAGCGGTTCACGAATACAAAAGGTGTTGCGGATATCTCGCGCCTGCAGGGCCACCTTTCTAGGTCTCTCGACAAAGTGTCCCGTGGCTTAGATGCTTTTGAACGCAACACTGGCAACAAGCATCCATTGGACTCTGGCAACCGGCGTCCGTCCAGGCGCGCGACCGGCGGAGATCCCTTGACAGACGACGATGATGGGTCGCTCTGGCAAGGACCCATTTCTGTAGGTTCACCCGCAAAGGGATTCACCGGTAAGCCACGCCGGGCAGAATGCCTATTGTAAAACTCATCAAGTACAGTGGACTTCGATACGGGCAGCAGTGACTTGTTCCTTCCGTATTACGCGATCGCCTTGATTCTCCATCGCCCATACACTAACCATACTTCTCCTTAGTGGTGTGGATTGCCTCTTGACATGTCTAGGACATACGCTATACAACCCGGGCGCAAGCCGAGTGTCTACCAACACTCGCCAACGATTCAGCCTTGCATTCGGCGACGGGTCGACAGTGCAGGGAACTGTCTTCACTGATACTGTAACCGTAGCCGGCCTCTCAGTAAGACGATGAGCTAATACTGTGTCTTGGAGAAGTGTTAACATGCAGCTAGGCGACAGGCCAAGCGGTTGGAGAGTCATCTCAGTACAGTACAGGGTTTGAAAAGCAGAAGTAGGTGCTTAGATTCAGACTTTGTAAAACATGCTTACGTCGTTCAGCTTTCCACCAGACGGCCTTATGGGGATGGGGTTCCAGCAAATATCCGTTTTCAACGAACCTCCGTTCTTCCAGACACTCGTCAATCAAGGGACAGTCACCTCTCCCGAATTTGGCGTCAAGCTCTCGACATCAGGCTCCGAGCTCTTCCTTGGCGGCGCCGATACCTCACTCTTCACTGGGTCATTAACCTCGGTTCCGGTCACGACAGTGGTGAGTTTTCTGATGGTCCACCTACGCAAGACCAGATCATTATACCGGGACGATATAGGGATTTTGGCAAGTTACCATGGATTCTATCAATGCGGCGGGCAAGGCCGCAGGCTCTAACCTCGACTCGATCATCGACACGGGGACGACGCTCGTGATCGGTGATATGAACACGGTGGCAGCCCTATACGCGGAAATTCCTGGGTCTGCCGACGCGAGCGAGACCGCCGGACCAGGCTTCTTTACATGTGAGCGATTGTCATCCATTCATAAACAGGAATCTGACGTTTAACGGAGTCCCTTGCGATACTGACCCCGAAGTCAGTCTGACGTTCGGGGGCAAGAGTTTCCCAATTTCGCTTGACACGTTCAATCTAGGATTATTGACCGAAGGCGGCGACGATTGTGTCGGGGGCGTAATGGGAGCTTCTGGTCTTCCGGCGGACTTCATTGTCGGCGATGTCTTCCTGCAGAATGTATACACGGGTGAGCTCAATATTGCATTCAACCGTGACTGGTGTTAATGCAGATGATCAGTCTTCAATGTCGGGAACACGACAGTTAGTTTCGCAGACCTCGCTTGATGATGGGATTGTACACGAGTGAGCAGGATATACGATATGCACATGTTGGTGACAATATATTCGATATGGTATTATGTCATGCCCTTCGTTGTTGCATCTTGACTCTCGGATCGCCTCGTTCGCTGCGTTTCTTGAGCTTTTCTTGTCGTTTACTCAATGGCTCCATGGGCACTTCTTCCTCCGCAGGTCGGGACTGCGGCATGATTAATGGACCAATGAAGCCCCATGCCTTGTATACAACAAAGACGGGTATCTAGCAAGGATTCTAAGCAAAGAATCCACCAATATGAAAGTAACGGGACGTACTGCAAGGTATAGGAGCCATACCCACTCCCCCATTATAGAACTACCGACCTGTGCAGCCCCTGAGCCTGTTAGTAGATGCGACGTATATGTAAGAGGGATAACACGCACAGCTGATATATAAGACATCAAACATCCACTCCGTCACACCTGGCTGGTTGAGGTCTGCGCCGGCGGAGACAACCATCCCATTCGCGTCGCGCCGTGGCTTCCCCAACGCAGCGAGGCGTCCATATATAAATTGAGATATCCCAGTAGCAATGGCACTCAAAATCCATATCTTGATTGAGGTCCCACGACCCAACGCGCGATATAGTAGTCGAACTAGGAAGGGTACAAGGTTGGCTAGAATTTGACCATACAGCAGGTTCTTCAACGCCGCTTCATTCTGAGAGGCTGATTCGGGATCAATACTGGCAGAAATATCTAGGTGAATCACAAGACGAACCTATTTTTTTCGCGGAAGTATTGGCCATGGCCGTACGGGACGCGATGTGGCTTGCGCGCCACGACGCGTCGCCGCGTGAACGTCGATGGTTGCGCGACCCCGTGAGATGGAAGCCAGACGCGTGTTGCGCCGGCGGTGTGACGCAGAAGCCTTGCTTCCTACCACCATCAGCGCCGTTTCGCGCTTTTCAGAGATTCTGTAACCACTATTTAATGGAATATCAGCCCCACCACATACGGATAGCAGCCTCAGTGCTGCAGGCTAATCGAGCGTACAGGAATGGTCTACGAAGTCATATAGAGCAGATGAAGGAGGAGCTCGCGGGTTTGGAAGACATGATTGTCAGTGAAAAACTTGGGACTAGTCATCATATCTAACACACCCTTAGGAGCTTGCAGAAAGGGATGAAGAGGAGTTCCAAGCGGACGTATCTGGCAGCATCATGATACCTGGCCAACGAAAGGTCGTGGGGATAGGCCTTATAGCCCCTTCGGAGATTGCAAAGGCGGTGCGTACTCTGAGGCATCTAATTCTCAGGCACAGTGAAGCTAATAGAAACAGGGATCCCCCTTTCACTCTGACGTGGCCCGGGTGCAACGTTATAAGCTGAGCGCTGAGGTACATGCTAGTACGTCGCTACATGTAATCGTGCGAGATGGTCTTAATCTTCTTCAGTGCGCGGCTCAGAACTTGAGCTCTTAGCTAAGGGCGTTAGAAACGAGAATATACGTCTTCAGACGCTTTCCGGGTACAGCGTCATCACTGATGTTGATATGCAAGGCTTACGATAGTAAATCTAGAGTCACGGTATCTCCGGAGGATCCCGGCTTGGAGGACAATTCAGATGGCTTAGACTGGGATCGAATTCGCTCACTTGTATGCTATGTATCTTCATGCATGTCATCAAGACGTTTAATGGCCTCTGCAGGTCGTCTCAGACCTTGGTTCCTTCGCGTTGCGCACCCCTGAGGAGCTGAAAGTGCGTTGGGTGGCGACAGAGCATCCCAAGATGAAACACGGGGCGTGGTCTGCGGAGGAGCTCAAGCGCGCGAAAGAGCTGTTTGAACAGACTGGGAAGGGTCAAACTGTAAACTGGATAGACATTGCGCAAAAGCTTGGAGTTCGTCATTCCTCAACGATGGCCGACACGTTTGCTGACCGGTGTGTAGACTAATCGGCTGCCCCTTGACATCATGCAACACATGGTAAAGCGCAAGACGCACCGCAACGACAAAGAGAGCGATGGACGCCTTACTCAAGCCGTCGAGCTCTACGGCATTGATAACTGGCAATTGGGTGAGTTTCCTCTTACGAGGTCTGAGTCAATATTAATGACTTAGTGGCGAAACGGGTTTCGGAGGACGCTACTGCAGAGAATGTAGAGAAGCGTTGGATCAACACCGTCGATTCTACCCGGCCAACTGGCCCATGGACGCCCGAGGAGGATGAACAACTACAACGCGCTGTCACCGTCTTCGACCAACAATGGGCTCAGATCGCGCCCTTCATGAACGGTCGCACGGCAGGACAATGTCGTGACCACTTCGAAGATGGTGTGAAACCCGCTCTGAAGAAGGACTCATGGACACCAGAAGAACTCGAACAGCTTCGTGCGCTTGTCGGAGAGTTAGGCAACAAGTGGGTGGAGATATCAAAACGCCTTGAGGGACGCAGTGACGCTCAGGTATGCTACGTAAGTTTTGCGTTGCCGCATGTTGACACTCATCCATGCCAGTGTCGGAGGACTTGGGATAGACTCGAGCAAGGCAAAATCCCAGGGCAAAAAAGGAAGCAGTCATCGCAAGCCACGTCTGAGGCTGGAACGCCCGTAGACGACGAAGCCGGATCACCTCCTGAGAGAGAACGCGCCAAACGCAGAGGAAATCGGATGAGTACAGCGCCCGCCCGTGAGGTTGAAGCAGTGCAATCAATTCCTCCCCGCCCCAAGCCGAAGCCGAAGCCGAAAGCCGTGAAGACGGCCAGAGGTTCTACCGCAGGAACAACACCAGAAATGTCCGATGCAACATGTTCAGCGGAGCCAACACCAGCTCCTGAAGAAGCGGCTGACAATTCTACACTGACTTTGCCCAGGAGGGGCACCGCAGTAGCGCCGACAAATCGTAGTAATAGCGCGAAGCGCAGAAGATCGGATACGCTCCAGCAAGGTATGCACCTGACTGGTTGCCAGTGGTCTCGGCTGACAGATGAGAATAGCAACTGCACAACCGAGACCCACGGCGACACCAACCCGTAGACAACCGTCTCGCAGCACACGAAGCTCTACGCGTGCAAGTGATGACGTTTAGGACACGTTCCCGCTCCTGGAGTCAGATGTCCTACGATGCAAAATGAGGATGATACATGATGATGATGGCCTAGTCAAATACTGTGCAAGATGATGCGATACAATATGATATATACTAAACCTCGACTTTACTCTTCGACACCTTCCACTTCTTCCGCGGATGTGCTGTCGACTCGCAGTTAACGATGGCACCAAGAAGGTCCGTGTCGGCGGGGTCAACAACGTCCTCGGTCTGAACGAGGAGATTGCGTAAAGACTCTTGGACAAGCCCCGCATTCTTGAGCTTCTTCTCCAGTGACGGCAGTGCTTGCTTTTTGGGGGGCGATGGCTACAGGGTTCAGACTGGTGTGAGCATGCGGATTTATTATTGAAGTAACAAGACATACTGGAGTCTGGACATATGTATGTCTGGGGGGCAATGGTGGATAGGTCGGCGGGAGTTCTTGGATGGTTGCTGGAACTGAGGACTCGTCGTCGTCTAAGAGTAACATCTCTGGGACTGGAGACTCTCCGGGCGGAGGGATGAGGTCAAATCTTGGCTGATGTTTGTATGATCCTGTGCGTTTGTGAGACCCATGCACTTCGACATGCCGCAATTCGTTGGACGCACGACGTTTCCTTTTCCTGATTATAGGTCGCAAGTCTGCCGGCTCGAGACCAACGTCAACGAACGCTAGGCGGAGATCGTTCACGGTGGGTATTGAGCGGTTCGCCAAGTTTGCGTAGTCATGTGCCGTTCGGTACAGGTTTTCCACGTCTGCGGATATTGTTATGTTAGTATTGGGCTACGTTGTAAGACGGCGTAGGAGACGTACATGCAATGACCTCATCTCCTAACTTGTGTAGCGCCACCGGTCCTGCACCGTCAAATCCTTGATCCTTCAGCTGAGCTGATATCAGTCTATCAACGGCCACCTGGGCAACACTGGCAGTCATGCCGGGCGGCTGTGTGGAGCGTTGGGTGTGGTGAGTGCTGGTGCTGGATGTCTGCTTCATAGACCTCTTATTTGAGATGGAAGGCGGAAGGGTATTATCGGGAGGACTGATGTGACCGCTGGAGGTCGAGGCAGGAGCGAAAATGGTGTATTGTTGCTGCCCAGAAGACATGACGGTCGTGCGCAAGACGCGACTCGATGGGAGCGCGTCCGACGCGTCTTCGGCAGTCGGGCCGGTTCCCAGGCCGGCTCCTCGGAGTCGAAAGAGCTGACTGTGACTCTCTTCCACACACTCACGACGACATAGACCGATAGATTGCTTGATTTATTGCTCTTTAATTTCTGTATCTGCTGCTCGCTGTCTGAGGCCTTCTTGTCATGGTAGATACAAACACTATTCACGCTACTGCGGAGGACCTGGAGCATCTCGATAGCGCGGATCGTCCTGCCGCACCGTTTCGTACGGAAACCTTCAGAAAGACGCGGCCTACGATCGCCGGGCCAGATGAACCAGTGGCCCCATTTCCTATCAAACTTGCTGGTCCTGTTCAACATGGCTTTGGGAGAGGGGGCAAGGATCTAGGATGCCCAACCGGTGCGTATCTCCGCGTCGCCGACACGCGCGCACGAGCTTAGGCGCCATCACAGCGAACCTTCCAGACGAGTCGATAACACCCATGAGTCACGTTTGCGAGCAGGGCGTATACTACGGCTTTGCACAAGTCGACGCGGAAGATGCCGAGGATAGTGCGGTCCATCCTATGGTAATGAGCCTCGGATGGAACCCATTTTACAAGAACGAGCGGCTAACCGCGGTACGCATGCATGCTTGCTGCCCGGAGATACATCTAACACATACTCGCTGCAGGAGATACACCTCATGCACGCCTTCAAGTCTGACTTCTACGGACGTAACATGGAGGCTATAGTGCTGGGATACATCAGGCCGCAGTTAGACTACACATCGCGAGGTGCGTATAGGCATTGTCAAGACTTGAATCTGCGCTGACACGGAGGTGCAGAGGCTCTTGTTGATGACATTCAAACGGATATACGGGTGGCTCAAGAATCCTTGAAGCGGCCTGCATATCAGGCGTACTTTAGCGATTGTTCATGGTTGCCTAATGACTCCGCGTAATGACATGATCCTTTGACACAGTTGAATCAGATCACAGGTTTCGTACCTCGAAGCACATGTCGTCGTCAAGTTCTCACAGTGTCTACACAGTTCGAGTAGACGGTGTCTGATCTCCCATCTTATCTTGCTGGACCTGTCGAGAAGAACGACTTTGACTCGGTCGGAAGTTCGTTCGTTTTCGCTATCGGCAAGCGTATGCTCATGGAGCCGAAGTTATCACCCTTGGCTTGTGCTCACTTTCGTTTGACAGTGATTGGCGCAGCCGTCGCAAAGGAAGCTGCGGATGAGTAGGCTGAGTCGAGTCCTAATGCATGATGAGATATAGATCACTTTCCACTCCGCGCCATGGGTATATAGTTGACCAAATATACTGCTTCGCCAACTTTTGAGCTCTCGTACGGCCCATGGCGGCGCAATACAAGTGAGCCCGCGCTGGCACATGAATCATTCATGACACTCGGCGGGGCGCGCCTCATGTCATCCGCGCGTGCAAAGCACGATGGTCAGAGCGGTGCAACCTCTCAAAGCCAGAACTCACGCGAAGGTGAACGTTTGCGCCGAGTCACGCTCGTGCGCTGTGTGGCCAGTGGCGCGCGAGATGAAACCGTGAAGTGGAGAGGATACCGTAGTGGGAATAAAGTGCGATGTGCATCCCGCGCCACAGCGGATACCGCAGCACACGGGGCAACCGTCGCGAGCTCTCGACGTCTCCTACAGGACATGCGTCCAAGGATGAAAGCATGTTGGACTGGACTCAACCCTTTCGTCGTCACAGCGCTTGGAGGTGAAACAAGCGCCGGGGATCTCCTCATTGCTCGTTGCTCGTCGCGTGGAGACCTCTATGGGTCGTCAAACGGTGGTGATGAGACACGAGAGCACGTTCGAGCGCGGACAGAGAGCCTCTTTATCCCGATTCCCGCGCGCACAGCAATGAATAATAACGAGGTGAGATGAAACATCTCTGTATAATGGCATTTACGCTCGCTGAGCTACAACTCATGAGCCTCCTGTGCTCGCTTGATGCACGTTCGTGTACCCCGTGCATCCGCCTGTCGTCTAATGCACTGACAGCGAAAGTCTGAACAGGGTTTGCGGCGGTAGATGTCTCGGCGACGGGGTGTACACCGGAGCCACTGGGTGCGAGTGTGGCCGCGCATCGGACCGTCCACCGTCGGGGAAGTTGTACATAGAACAGAGGCCCCGCCCCGCGGCGGGTGCCAAAGAATCACAAGCTAGCGGACAAGTGCGGGGTAAGCCCGGTACAAGGCAACCTGAACAGAGTTTTGCATTGTCAGAGATGTAGTGCGGGGGAAGAAGATTGTACTGCGGCACCTTATTGTGGATTGTGAGCATACACTATTCATGCTGGCGGGAGACACGTTCGAAGCGCGTTATCAAGGTAGAGCGTGCCGCCGGAGGCGGATGGTTGGGTGTCGCCGCACGCACAGCAGAGGGGTAAGCACTGACGACGGCTTGTTATCGCGGACGGCCGCACGCGGACCAGGATTGTCGGCGCGCTGTTCGTGAGCGAGTATCTCCCCCTTGTGTCTCACGGTGCATGAAACCAGGTATATGCACTGCACGCACCGGCCGCCGCCTGGGCGTAGCTGGGGCAGAGCCGACCGTGAAGGATTGTATCCGGGTTGAAAGGTCGCGCGATTATCGTTATTTCTGGCCTAGCAGATGCAGATGCGAAGGATAAGCCGCGGCCCCGCGCATTGTGAGAGTATCCGGGACCCATCGCCGCCCACAACCTATAACATTACTCCATCGCGCACGTTCAACGCCAGTAAGGTTCAAGCCCATCGTGGCCAACAGTTTGTGGCGTCTGAGTTCTGGAGATGGCCGAGGATCAGAGTTGGACGTCGGACAACTTTGACAGCGGCGATGAGATCGTGTCGATGCGCGGGAGATACCCGGGGCGGGCGCTGTGAGAGGCGAGTTGGGCGGTGGTCGAACGTTTGCTTCGAGCTCGTTTGGAGACTATGGACATTCGCACTCGCGGATATAGATGTCGACCGGTTTGGCCGACGAGGGAGCGTAGCAGGATAGACGCCGAGAGGCTCGGTAAGGCAATTCGGCGTTTCGGATGAGCGTATTGCGTCCATGGTCGCGCGACCAGTTTCTGCGAGAAGCCCGGCGTCGACGCAAGAGAGAAGGGCTTGAAGTCATCGGCGGCTCGACGACGTCGATAACAGAGAGTGGTAGATGGGCCCTTAATCTCCGACAGAGCTCTTCGCGGGCTGGAGTGAATGGATAGAGACCGAATGTGGACGTCTATTGAGAAAAGCGCCGGACCGGGACGGAAAGCAGGTTGAGATACGGTTCGGATGGTGATGAGGGCACGATGGGCAGAGATGAAAGCTTGCAATACGACACTCTGACTGTCGAGCGTCCGTCGCTTGTAGGCAGATATCGCCCATTCAAGTTGCGTATGATTGACAACGTTAGACGCGCAAAGACGCGTACTGGTGCCACGATAATGTCCGGTGTTGAAGTGTGCGAGTGGCAGAAAAAGCTCAGACTGGACGAGCGCCGTATATGACGAGATCCTGGTATCTCCATACGCGCACACGACACATAAAAGCAACAAGGCCAGTTACACGTGAGGCCGAAGGAGGTGGTCTCGAACCGCGGCGCAGTGCCGACGAGCAGGGCCACGACGGATATGCATGGCCTTGTACGGAATAGATGGCCCAGGATGAACGTGGGCGCTCGGTGTGGCCTCGCGGGCGGTCCGTACACACGTAAATGATGGCTGGCGGGGAAGCAGGTGGTCTTCGGGCTTGCGAAGTCTCGAGGGAAGTGACGCAACTGTGCGTACGGCGCGAAGCCCAGCAAGCGACGCACGTTCATCGCAGAGGGGCTCGCGTAGGTTGTAGGCGAGCCCTGCGCTGGGTCGCGGGGGCGTATATCAAGACAAGGGTCGACATGAGGCAGAGGCGAGGGAACGTCGGATGGGCGGGTTTGGGTCGTTTCTCCGACAGCTTGGACAGTGAGAGCGAAGAGTAGGCGGCGCTTGCCGTACTGGGCGAGCGCACGTGTGCGGAAGGGTGGCACACTGGAGAGCGAGAGCGGCGAGCAAAGCGGGGTATTTACCTTGCCTGAACCGGCCACAGCGTATCGAGTCAGACAGGACAGGGCGCAAACAATGTACAATGTGGCGAAGGGCAAGCGAGCAAACCGGGAAGGTCAAAAAGATCGGCGGTACATGATTTGAAATGATATTGTGCGTTGCGCGTAATTGAAAAAGGGAAGACCGAAAGGCGGGCCGGGGCCCCTGCCCTGCCCTCTTGCCCCCAACGGCCATGCACTCTCGGCCGTCTCGCTCGATCTCCTCCACAGACTTTAACCACATCATTCTCGACCCGTCCAGCAGCACTTCGACGGCGATACCGCGTGAGTTTCTTTGTTTAATCCTCCAATATACCCTCGGGTTGAACCACCGACCGAGCAGAAGCCGAGCCATCTCCAACTCGCAAACGCTCCTCGCGCTTCCGGCCCGTCCGTGCGCTCACGCTCCCGTCGTCGTCGACGTTACCCACGGTATCGTCCCCCCGACGACGTTCCAGGCGGAATTCCAAGGCGTCGGTTCTCTCGTCGTCCTCCGACTCGTCGTCGGACTCTCCGCCCGCCCAGCAACGATCTCCCTCCCACAACAATGCCGGAATCGGGCGCAAGGTCGCCGACTCTCTGCAGCTGTTCAAGCAGTCTGCCTCATCACCCGCCATCGAGCACTCCGACCCGCTGGAGGAACTCGAGTTTCCAGCCTCGTCGTCGCCCACTCGCTCGCGGACCCACCGGGCCGTGTCTTCCAGTCAGCTAGCAGACGTCGGCGAGGCGACGTTTGAGTTTGTCAAGCGCTCGGATTGGCACGAGCGCGCCGCCAAGGTCGCACGGTCGAAGAGCAACCTTAATCCGGTCATGGAGCCAGAGGGCATCATCACGCTCTCTGGCCGCGACCTGCTGCACCAGGACGCGCTGCGACGAAAGGACAGGACTTCTTCATTTAGAGAGGATATTTTGGACGACGTCGCACAGTGGACTCGTGACGTCCAGCGCCAACCCGATGGCCGAGGGAGGGCGCGGGAACGTCAGGCCTGCCCCGAGGGAGAGTCGGCCGTCGATGACGAGCCACGCTCGAGTGCATCATCCGCTCGATCGACGCATTCTGTCCCATTTCCGACCTCCTACCCGTCGCCTTCTCCTTCTCGGTCACCTGTTCACCGAGCGCCGTCTTCTCCTGCGCTTCTTGCTCCTCTGGCCCGGCGGCCCGAACTCAATGCTCTCGCTCCTTCTCATTCGCGTTCACCGACGCCCGTTCGTTCAACTTCACCTTATCCCCCTCACGACGACGAACGATATTCGTCGCCACACGAACCGTTCGCGGTTCCCACACCGCCACCTCCCAGTCATCACTCGTTTTATTGGTCTACCGACGATGAGAGCGGCTGGGAGACGGCGAGCGTGGCCAGCACCACATCTATGTCCTCACCACTCCCGCGCTCGCCCGCACCACTCGACATTGGCGATCCGGCGCTCGGGTGGCCCGAGCCTGAACATGACGAAGTGCATGATCAACATCATCCCTTCCCGTCACATGCTCCGCCAGGAAGTTGGAAGAGTCCGCGGCGCTACGGAGAAGAACCGGACGAGTACTTTCCCGACGCGCCCGTGGATGGCGAAGACGTTGAGAGTGACGGCGATCTGTTACCGCACATTCCCCTGCGTCCTTTCCGCAACCAGGTTGGAGGACACACCAGCATCTACAAGTTTACTAAGCGGGCAGTCTGCAAGGTGAGTTTCCGATAAGACCCTATCTTTACGCCTCCCTCGCTCCATAGTCGTTTGTCCGCCATCAGTTCGTGACGTCCCCGCTTGCCTCTTGTAGCATTCCACCGCTCCGTCATCCGAGCTTCTAGATTTGTTCTTAGTCTCTTTTGCGTGTGCTCTGTGTGCCACAGTTACTGACCGAGCGTGCGACAGCCCCTGGTCAGCCGCGAGAACATGTTTTACGAGGCTATCGAGCGCGAGGCTCCACCGTTACTCGATTTCATACCGAGGTATCTCGGCGTCATGCTCGTATCGTACCGGCGTGTGCCCAAA